CTCTTTCTGAAAACATTATCTCAGTTTTTGACAATTTAGACTGCTGTTTCCTTGTCTCCAACTGTTGTAATCATGTTTAACCTTAAGGATTTAATTCAAATATCACCTAGGAAAATCCACCCAGGAAATCTCTCCTGATGGTGTTACTGACCATAAGACCATGAGACCATGATCTTTTCTTCTTCTTCTTCTTCTTCTGGACATTCTTGACCCATAATACCAATCCTGTTTTATAAGTTTGCTTCATTGGGGAAAAGACCCTCTAAGTAGTTGACTCTGAGACTGCTTCTCAATTCTGAGGCTAAAAGAAACTATGTTATAACATGATAGAGGTGGGAGGAATAATTTGAGGGATTTAGATAGGTTTCATTTGTGCGTCTATGGTCTTACATAATGCAAAGCTTGTGATTCTCAGAGTATCTCATAGTCTCATGTAGTATTTTATAGGCTAGGTCCTTCTCTCTTTTTATCATACTATATGAATTGTTTCCCAATGATTATTTCTATATCTTTAGTAAAAAAATTTTAAAAGTTCCATTTTTAACTTACTCTTGCTTCAAAGCTTTATATAGAGAGTAGAATATTTCAATTCCATCTCAGATCTTCTGTCCCTATTCCTCACCTGATACATCCTAATATGTGGTTGAAGTCTGCATAGCGGTCATGGTGTTAATTATTGAAAAACTTTGCTACAGACAGGGAAATGTTAGAGAGCAGGGTCTAGCTTATCAGTTCAACTTTTTTCCTAGTAGAAATCTTTCCTAGAGAAAATTTTCTGATAATCTGCTTTAAGTTTTCTTCAGAGAAGCAATTTCTTTATACACCCAATTAAAATTATTTGTATACAAATTTTATTTCCTCATTAGACTAAGTTACTTGAGATGATAAGTAAAATTAGGAAAATCACTAGAAGCCTTAATTTCCTCATTTGCAAAGTGAGTGGCTATAATTCTTCAAGGACCCTTCTATCTATAGGACTTGTCAATTTTATGTGAGTCAACCTAAATATGATAGGATGTCACAAATCCAGAAAACTTGAGAATACCTTATCTCCTGGTTTCCATATTAGTTTGCTGACTGATATGCTGCCTATATTTTTGTTACTGTCAAGTAAAATAACTGCTCTGAAACAGGGCATGAATAACACAAAGGAAGTAAAACAAGGAAATTTCTCAACAGCCATCATCAGGAATTCAGGGGCAATTTGACTTAAAGCAGCTTGAAATTCTAAAAGAAAATCTTGGAAAATGCAATCTCATTTGCTTTCTTTTTCCTTTCTAAATGAGCACACTCTTATCTCCCCAAAAATTTCCCCCTAAAAAGAAAACACATTGCACAGCTTGACCTGTAATTTAAATCACAATTAAGCTTCCAGTTAAATGTATCTTTGTAATAAATCTGCTATAAATCCCCCAGTGTTACGTTAAATTCTCTTATCCTCTTAAACAGCATGACCCCAGTTTTATTTTCCCTAGACATAAAATGCTGAATTATAGCTTATTTATGAGTTTCATGAATAAGACTAATTTGATTGCCATTACAGAGAAATTCTCACTAGGCTATTATACTCCTATATCCCATTAACCAATAACAAATACACAAAGTAAAAAATCACTCCCAATTAGTCTTCCAAACAGAATTGCTGGGACCATTTCTCTGTATAAAAAGAGGATGCAACCAACCAGCAATATTAAAAATATTTCCTCCTGTTGTCCCTGCTTAGCACTATACCTATGCAAAATCTAATCTGCTTTTTATAAACATTTACAAATCAATCTTTTAGCCTGCAAAAACATTTATTCCTAATGGGACATGGCTTTCTTACTTAGAATTCATTCCTTATGAGCAGTACCTGAAGTGGTTCAAATGTTATATTCTTGACCTAAACCTCAGTATCTGCTATAAGCATGAGCTTAATTGAGAATGTGCAAGCAAATAGTGAGCAGGTCACTTGGGGTCTCAATGACTTGAAGGCTCCAGTAGTCACATGGAAATGACAACTAATGGAGGTGTTAAGACTGGCAGCTTCCTCTAGGCTAGTGTAAGTTTGTTGTAAAATGTTATGCTTTATTATCAATAAAACAAGAACTAATGCCCACTACAACATAAGCTCTATATAGCAGAAATTTGGTGGCACTGTTCACTGACATTGTAAGGACTCAAATATTTGTTGAATAAATGGATACTTTAGTCCTAGCTCTGCTCTAATGGACAAGTCTGGTTCTATGAGCCAGCTTCTTTATCTATAAAACGGAGATAATAAAAGAGTTGTATTACATAAAGTAACTTAGGGAAAGTGTATGAAAGTTGGCAAAGCACAAATATAAAACAATATCTTAAGTCCAATAGAATTACTTAACAATAATAGTCATGAATAACTCCAGCTAAGCTTGAAACAAAAGATAAGCTTAAATTAATGAGGAGCAATGATGGGAAAACTATTGTTTAAAAGTTGCAAGCATTGTTCTTTCTCCTACAAAGTGAAGGATTAAAAATTTAATCACAAAAAGACTTTATTTTTGTAAAAATCATCTGAATGGATACTCACATTTCTGCAAATATAGAGCAATGGCTCTCCATCACATAAAAAACTCTGGATACATAGCAGCAAAGAAATATTCTGCTTTGCTTAATATTGTAACTTACTGGCATTAATGTAGGCAGTTAAATTTTATTTATTATGGGACCAGCAGATGGCACAATGGTTACATTGCTGGACTCCCACATGGCCAACTGCAGTTTGCACTCTGGACCCAGCGGCCTGAAATTCACCCTGGGTGTGTGTGTGTGTGTGTGTATGTGTGCATGTCCCAGATCCCAAGAGGAGAATGGAGGAGAAGGAACTGCAGCATGGCCATCACCCTTGGGGGATGATTTCTCGCTTTCTGTCTCTTGGTCACTCTCTTTGTCTCTCCAGAAAGCACATGCACCCTATAGCAAAAATCTGCCTCTCAAAAAAAAAAATTATTGTAATTTATTATTTACATTTCATTGTACATCTTTGTAGAATACCATAAGCTTTTTAAGGCATTTATACACTATGCAATAATCAAATTAAGCACATAAACATATTTACGGTCTTCAACATTACACTATGTTGTGTAAATTTGGAACATTGGCCCTATAGGTTTTATTGAACATTTATATTAAACTGTCAATAAAGTCCTCTACTCTACTATGGTACACTGTCTTTTTTACTTACCTATGTATTGAGACTATGTCAGTACATTATGATTGTCCTTATAAAAGATGAATGTTGTTCCCAAGCAGATGCTCCTGGAGAGAGGGAGGGATAGCTGGAAATGGCAGAAATGACTTGGAAACATGATCTTCACCACCTATTGGCAAGGGAAATAAGGAAAACCAGATCCGATTGCTGAAACTTCACCTAAACTCTATTTAGAATTCCGCACAAATAAATGATATTTTAAGGAAAAAAATCCTCAAATTCTCATAAATGTATTGATGTCACTTTATCACCTGCAGACTCTTGGGAACCAAAGGGGAAAAAAACACATCCATATGGAAGGAGTGGTGTTCAGGGAGAGTGGAAACCAATAGGTAACAAGCTGCAGACTATTGATTTCTTACCTGCCACCCATAGTGGGATTAAGGTTGATGGGAATTCAATGTTTGGTAATAAAGCTTAAAAGAAAAACAAAAGGGAGACAATGATAAAGATAATCCCTAAATTTCTATGCATGTTAATGTTTGATGAAGTATTCAGTTAAACTATTTGGAAATTTAAATATGGATAAAAATAATGACAGAACAAAAACCAACTTTCACCTGGAAAATATGGAAAACAGAATGGCTGTTCTCTGGTCTGGAAGGAATGACCATCTTTATAATGTGTGGATGTTCCTGCAGTTGCTCACTTATACAGTAAACATTTATGAAGCAAATTGTGTCAGGAACTGGGCTAGATGCTAAGCTTACAGACATTAATAAGGGAGGACCACTGATGTCAAGGTATTTGCAGTGGTGTCAGGACGTATATAAGTGGATACTTGTAACAGGAGTCTATGTATGTAATGAAGGAATACAAAGGAACATTGGTAATTATATCTTGGTAGCAGTTAAGGAAGGGATAGCTGAATTATATTCTTTTAATTTACAACTGCAACTGTTTGTGTAGCATAGAAGCCTAATACTTTACAGGCCCAAAAAGCAAGGCCTGAGTAAAAGAACATGGTGCCAGGAACCTTCTGAAATATAAAGCTGTAATGTAGATTCTTCAGCTTTATGAATGTCACAGTGGTCACTAATGGTATTACACAACTAAAACACAGCTGGGGACCAGCAGGTGGTCTGGTGGTTAAAGATGCTGATCTCCCATGTGGCTGACTGCAGTATGAGTCTTGGACCTGGCAGCTTGCTTGCTTGCTCTCTCTCTTGCTTGCTTGCTCTCTCTCTCTCACTCTCTCTCTCTAGTCAAAGTAAAATGAAAATAATAATACATTTTTAAAAGTTAAAGTACTTATTTCTTTAAAAAAGTCTTTAATGTTAGATCAATGAGAAATGATCAACTTATTGAGAAACAAAGGAACTCCCTGGACTTATTCATATTCAGCTAATATTTATTGAATGTCTACTGAGTGCTAGGCACTTTAGACCACAAAAAATATGAAATAAGGAAGAATACACAGGTTTTGATGAATAGTACATGAAAATATTTTATTAAGAGCTGGTACTAGGCTTCTTTAAAAAAAATGATGACTGGTTTTGAGAGAAGGCTACTTTGAATATGGATTGTGAGAATCTGTACATAAGAATAAGGGTTAGAAGAAAAGTATGGATACATGTTAAGAGTTTACAGAAGAGGCTGTAAATATATTTTCCAGAAATGGGTCACATTTCTAAATATAATTCAAAATACACATGAATGGTGATATGCAGAAAGCTCAAATGCTTCAATGAACATTTGAAGTTCAGCATGAGCAAAGACAGAAATAGAGAACTGAACATCAATGTTTCAGAAATGACAAAGAGGTAAAGTTATATATGGCACATAAAATGCTATATTATCTTACTTCCATATATCTCTTACATTAAATCTTGACTTTTTGCTTCATGCATTTATCTTCCTTGCTGTTGCCTGTGCAAAATTTACTCTATTTCTATTGCCTTTCCCTCTTCTCCCTCTCTGGTTAATGTCCTTATACATGTTTTCTTTACTCAATTATGGACTCCTTGGAGACAAGATACACACTTTGTTTATCTTTGTATTCCAGCACTTAACACAATTCTTGCATGATGCAAGAATTCTATAAATGTCTACTGAATTCATTTGTTATCCATCTATCTATCAACAAAGTAACTGAGCACATTTTTTCTGTCATTGATTGGTGCTTGGTTCACAGCAGTTAAAAAAAAAAGATATGGTAATCTAAGAAAGCAAGCACCAGATAAGTCTGAGAAAGTAATTTGAGAAAAGAAAGTGAAAGTACAGGCATGCCATCAAAATGGGTTAGTATTATTTCTGTTGATAATTTTCAGAAGAGGTTTATACAGAGAAAAGAGATATATTTATACATAAAATTATAGAAAGGGCAGAGGCTCCATAAGTTAGAACTTGTAGAGGAACTACTTGTGATGGTAGAACCCAGTGGAATGATCTAACAGGTAGAGATGTTAATTGCGGAAACAGATCTTATGGAGAAAAAAAAAATGAAAAGAGTGAAGACTCCGTCTGCATCTAGTAAGAACCAAGTTTATTACTAGAAAAGAACCATTAGAGGAGGTTCAGGCAGATGTGTTGATTTGACATGAAAAGTAGCAAGTGACCACCATGACAGGGGGGACAGTAAAATGAGAATAACATTTCAAAAATAAAAACCCATTATCATTCTTATAAAGGAAGGTATGTAGCAAAGCAGAAGAGAGATATGGGTAGTTTTAGCTATGAACCAGATGGGAAATGATAAAAGTTAAGGATAGCTAGAAAACAGAACGAATATGAAATAAGGAAGAATGACTAGATTTGATGAGTAGTATACAAAAATATTTCTTAAGAGCTGGTACCAGACTTCTTTAGAAAAGTAATTACTGGTTTGGAGGAAAGGCTACTCGTACTGAATATGTAATGTGAGAATCTATAAGTAAAACTAAACAGAAGCAAAACAAAGACTGATGTTCCTCATAGAAAATAACTGAGGGACCTCCTTCAACATGGTCTACTTAGCTTCCCTTATAAACTCATGAGAATACTGGATAAAACATAACTCTTGCCATATAAGCCATATACAACCTCAAAACCAAAACTATAAAAAGGAAATTCTCAGTGCCAGAAACAAATGAAAAAAAGGAGAGGAGAAAGCAGAAACAGACATCATGGTAACTCCAACATTTTAAACTTGGAAACATGCCCCAGAAACTAGTAGCTGGGTTTTAATGTCCAAAAGAGATACAGAGTTTTGATGAGGCTGGAACTATGCCTTTAGGGAAAATCTGAAGACTTAAAGAACTGCAAGCCACTGGGACCAAAAAAAAAAAGGCAGAAAAAGAAAAACACTACATACTTGTCTAGAGAAGAGGCAAATACATTTGTTTATTGACTGGACTTTGAATGGGCTGGGGGGAATCAAAAGGTATCTGGGAGAAATCAAAACCCCAGACCTGAAACAGATCTAAATTTAAAGTATCTGCATAATTCAGGAGCTACAAACTGAGAAATTATCATTTAAAAATGTTCCAAGATTTTTAAGAGCCAAAGAACATTCGCAGCGGCAAATACATAATTGACCTGAAGGGACTCTTTCACAACTCATGGCATAAGAGATTCCCATTAAAAAAAGAAAAAAACAACCACACTGAAGAAGAGCACTACATGAGGAAATAAATCACCATAAGTAAGAGTCAGCAAATTTTGTAAACAAGACAGCAACTTAAAAGCTGTAAATATAAAACTACATGAAAAACAAAGACGAAAAAATATTTTACTTGATTCAAGAGGCAAAAATTAGAAATGAGAGAAAAAGCAGATTTTTTCAAAGAACCTAGCAGAGCATATCCTTTTGAAAACAATGTTGCCCATGAAATTAAAATGAATGGGTCTGAGCAGATGCCATAGGTGAGTGAATATAAGCTTCTCTTTTTCTGTTCCTTATTTTAAATTATGTTTAGCTGTGTTTCTAGTTTGTTTTGCAGGATTATACTTGGTCAACCATGAATACAGTACTAGGAATATAATACCAAAATGTGCTACTAATTAATACAATTTTAAAAAATAACTGTTTATTTTACTATTATCATTATTATTTTTAGTTTGACCAGAGAGAGACAGACAGACAGAAAGAGAGAGAGAGAGAAAGTGAAAGGGAAAAAGCAAGCTGCCATGTCTGGGACTTGAACCACAGTCAGTCATGTGAGAGTCCAGTGACTTTACCACGTGACCTGCCAGCCCCAACTTAATACAATTTTAAAGCATGCACTTCCTGTCATTATCACTCCTCCCCTTGAATCTAAAAATAATGTTACAACAAAATGAGTCACCATTACCTATTTTTACAGCAAAAGTAAGGTCTTTCCATTTGTCCTTCTGTCCTGAGTTCTATGAAGATTCACTCAGTTCCCTGTAGGAGCTACTGTGGCATTCTATAAAACTAAAAACTATGTTGAGGGAAAGAAAGAGGTACTCTTCAACACTGTTAGAGAGTAGAAGACCAACATTTTCTCCTTTGTGCTGTTTGATAACATTCCGTGTCCTTGCCGGTGCTGCTATCTTACACAGAACTAAGAGTCTACTAACCTGCCACTGTTTTTATTTATTTTTTTATTTTTTTATCCCTATGATATATGATATATTATTTGCATATAGACATTTAAAAGAAAAATACAAGAATTAAATTGGTTGGTATATTCCCAAAACATTACATTTAGAGTTCAACTCTTGTGAATTACATTTGAGCCAGTTTTTTGTTTTGTTTTTGTTTTGTTTTGTTTTGGTGTGTGTGTGTGTGTGTGTGTGTGTGTATGTGTGTGTGTGAATACAATAAAATATTATTCTTTGTGCTTCAAAAGAATTGGTGGTGTAGCATTCCTTAAGAGTATTCAGCTATCCTCCTAATTTCATTCTACAAAGCCTCTATCACCTTAATACCATAACCAGACAAGTACATAGCAAAAAAAGAAAACTGATAAATACTGATGCAAAAATTTTCAACAAGATACTAGCAAACTCAATTCAACAGCATATTGTTAAGATTATACACCATGACCAGGTAGGTTTTATCCCAGGGATGCAACTATAGAAAAATAATAAATGTAATACGTCACCTTAACAGAAAAGATAAAAAGCCATCTATAGGTATAGAAAAAAGCATTGGCTAAATTATAACATCCCACCATGATCAGGACTCTCAGCAAAATAGAAGGGACATTCCTCAACACAATAAAAGCCATGTATGGCAGACCTGTTGTGAACATCATACCAAACAGGGAAAATCTGAAAGCCTTCCCACTAAAAATTGGAACAAGACAAGGATGCCCACTTTTTCTACTCATTTTTGACATAGTGCTAGAAGTCTTAACAATGTAATCAGAGAAGAGAGTAAAATTAAAGGCATTTAGATAGGAAAAGAAGAAGCTAAACTCCCCCTATTTGAAGACAATTTGATGATATACATAGAAAATATAAGGAATCCACGGGAAAATTACTAAAAGTGATAAATGAACTCAGTAAAGTAGCAGGATACAAAGTTAGTATACAAAAATCTACAGCAATTTTATATACCAACAATGAACAGACTGGGACAGAATTGAGGAAAGCAATCCCATTTACAATAACCGCAAAATGAGTAAGATATGTAGGCATAAGCCTAACCATAGAAGTGAAAGACATCTACAACAGAAACTATGAAAAACTGAAAAAAGGAACTGAATAAGATTTAAAAAAAAAAAAAAATACTGTGCAAAAAGAATAAAATAGGAGACAACTTATTACCTGACTTCAAAAAATATTACTGAGTGGTGATAATCAAAACAGCATGGTACACGGGAACCAGCAGTTAGCGTAATGGCTATGTCGCTGGACTCCCATGTAGTCGACCGCGGTTCGTGTCCCGGACCCGGTGGCTTAAAACTCACGCCGGGCGCGTGTGCGTGTGTGCCCAAGATCCCGAGAGGAGAATGGAGGAGAAGGGATTGCGGCGTGACCATCCCCCCTGGGGGGTGATTTCTCGCTTTCTGTCTCTATGTCTCTCTCTGTCTGGCGAGCGCACGCACCCTACAGTGAAAATCTCTCCAAAAAAAAAAAAAAAAACAGCATGGTACTGACATATAGTGAGACATATATATCAATGGGACAGAATCCAGAAATAAACTCTAAATTATACAGCCAACTAATATTTGACCAAAAGTACAAGACAATGCAATGGAAGAAAAAAAATTTTCAACAAATGATGCTGGAAGAACTGGATATTCACCTGCAGAAAATTAAAATGGACCCCTATATCTTACCATTAAAAACCAACTCAAAATTAATCAAAGACTTAAATATAAAGCTTCAAACTATAAAACTACTAGTAGAAAACTAAGGGGAAACTTTTGAAGACTTGGAATAGGCAAAAAACAAAATTCTTAAATAAGACCCTTAAAAGACAGGCACTAATCCCCAGAACAGACAGGTGGGATTTCATCAAGCTAAAAGGCATCCTCATAGCAGAGCAAACAATAATTAGAATAAAAAAAACCCCTCAGATTGGGAGAAAACATTTGCAAATTATTCCTCAGACAAGGGATTGATATTCAGAATACATAGGAAACTCAAGCAGTTTGCCCATAAAAAATGAATAATCCATTTTTAAAATGGACAAATGAATTGAATAAACAATTTTCCAAAGACTACAAATGGCCAAAAGGCACATGAAAAAAAAAAAATGTTCAGTCTCTTTTATAAAGGAAATGCAAATTAAAACCACAATGAAATACCCTTTAGGATGGCCAGGATCAAAAAAGTAAAGAATGACAAGCACTGGCAAGATGTGGTGTAAAGGGAAACCTCTTACAATGTTGGTGGAAATGTGTATTAGTACAACCTCTGTGGAAAACAACATGGAGGTTACTCAAAAACTTACATCTAGAACTACCATTTGACCCAGCAATCCCACTCCTTGGAATTTACCAAAAAAGAAAGGAAAAGTAAATTGGAAAGGCACCTGCACATCCATGTTTATTGCGGCATTATTCACAATTACTAAAACATGGATCCAACTGGTGTCCAAAAACTGATGACTGAGTTGAAAAACTGTGGCACATATATACTATGGAATTTTTTTTTTTTCTTTTTTTGGAGAGGTTTTTGCTATAGGGCGCGTGTGCTCACCAGACAGTCAGAGAGAGACAGAGAGACAGAAAGCGAGAAATCCGCCCCCAGGGGGGATGGCCACGCTGCAATCCCTTCTCCTCCATTCTCCTCTGGGGATCTTGGGCAAGCAAGCACACACGCCCGGCGTGAGTTTTAAGCCACTGGGTCCGAGATGCGAAACGTGGTCGACTACATGGGAGTCCAACCATATAGCCATTACGCTAACTGCTGGTCCCTATACTATGTAATATTAATCAGCTATAAGAAACAATGCAATCCTATCGTGGCTCAAAGTGGATGAATACAGAAGACTTAATGCTCAGTGAAGTGAGTCAGAGTTTCGAAGGATACACTTTGTATATCCTCATTCAATTTGTACAGAGGATCTGCACTCTGTGCCAGAGGTTGAGAGATCCTGAAGGTGTGATGGGGTAAAGGAAGGGTGTGGATGCTAGAAGCTGTAAGGGGGTGGATAGTAGACAGTGGGTGCTGGAGGGAGGGGTGAAGTGTGAGAGGAGGGAACATTTGAGAGAAAAACAATGTATATACGATAGGGATTTTATGTAAATGTGGAATTAATCTGAAAATAATTGCAATGAAAAAAACAGTGTTCAACTCTTGTCTCTGGGCTTTTCTACGAAGATAGTGATATCCAACTACTTTGTTGTTTCCCTTTCTTTAATTTATATATTTTATTTATGTCCTACTTAAATTTAGTTATACATATTTGTGAGGTATAATATGGATTTTAAAAGCATGAGGTAGTGTGCAATAACCAAATCAAGGATAAGACAATACTGTTTTTAAGAAATAACACTACTCTTAGGATGTATGTCATTAGTTTTTGCTCTATTAGTTCTTTTTAACATACAAATATAAAATGTATACACATATGTAATATATATATGATAGAACTTTTTTTTTGCACTCAATTGTGATATGCCCTGTCTACCCGCATTCCTGTGACTCTTATATGAATCACCCAGATTTTCTGCTTGGTTTAGGGGGTCTGCCAGTACTGACGCTTTCAAATCCTTTTGATCCATGAGGAAAGAATAGTGCTCTATTTCTGAGTAGCTATAAAATTGTATGCATCTAACTACATTAAAACTGTTACTAAAAATTACTTAGGTAAAGATCTCGATCTGTTTAATATTAGTGACTGCAGAAACATGAAGAAACTTCTGTAGTAAACACAGCTTGAGGAAATAATTAATGGCTGAATTATGACTCTGCCTCCTGAAATCACAGGGAAGTAGAGACCACACAAGGCACAAAAGTAATATTACCTCCTAATTTTAAGAGGTGAGGGCTGGAAACAGAGATAGACTGTAGGACAGATGGCGCCATCATTTTGTGCCTTAACTAATATAGCACCATAACAGTTCTAGAACTAAGCCCTTTCTTACTCATTACTGTCAATGTGCTCAAACACGTGGGACCTTGACACTTTTTTTTTAACAAGGTAAGAATCATACAAATTGATCAAGCTTGATATTAGTAGCATTGGATTCTATACACAAACCACAGTAGGCCCAAGAGCATGGGCTCTGAAGCTAAACTACTTGCGAACCAATTCCAGCTTCTACACTTGCTTCTACAAGTTGCTTAACCTTTCTGTCACATTCACTTATTTCTAAAATGAGAATGTCCCAGGTTTTCATATGGTTGCTATGAAGATTTTCAAAGCGCCTTGGAACACAACTTGACACACAAGATCCAATAAATATTAGTCGGCCTCAGGGGTTTCCACGAAGTCCCCGAAATGTGAAATCTGCCACTGCTTATTAAATAGCTTTTCGAATGAAGAATGTGAACATCTGTGTGGAACCCACTACCCACCCCACACAACTTCTCCTGTAGCTAAGTGCATTCTAGGCACGCAGTGGACGCGGAGATGTTGAGCTGAGTGCTGGCCCGGGTCAGACGACTCAGGGCTGGAGCCAGAGTCCCCAGCGGGCTGCGCCTCTTCTGCCCCAGAAAAGGATAGCTTCCATTTTTCAAGACACCCGAGGCAGCCCCGAGCAGATTCGGAGACTCCTGAACTAGACAGAAGGTGAACACCATTAAAAAAAAACCTTGCCGCCACCCAGCCCAAGTGCCTCTAAGATTACAGAAGTCCACACTAACCCGACTAGCAGCACTACAAAAGGCGGAGTCTGTGAGCCGCGACCGGGCGGGAGGGACCTAAGGGGACGGGGTGGCCGAAGCGCGAGGTCCCAAGGCTGCTATATGCGGCTGCCCAAAGTGTGCCGGACGCAGGTACCGATACATACGACTTTCTCCATTCGTCTTCAGACCCTGACAGTTGCATTCATGGAGCAAACATTTTACAGAGTCTTTTTTTCCTATCACTTTATCACTTTGATCGTTCGAACGGAGGGAAAAGACGGTACCCCTAAAGTCAGGCACTGCTCAGACACCAGCAGGAGAAATGAACTTGGAGGTGGGGTCCTTTGCTCGCGCCGAAATTCAAAGAAATAAATATTTCCGGCGCGGGGTTTGAGCGTGGTGGTCAGAGCTTAGCGGCTATGGTACGGTGTACCTCCTAGCGCCCGAAGCCGGGCAGAGTTGGTCTGCTCTCCGCCATTTGTCACTCAGGAGCTTCTGGGGCTCCTTGGGCCCAAGTGTCCTGCGGCAGCGGCGAGACGAGGCGAGTGTGCGTGCGGCCGATGGGGCTCGGCCTGGCATCCTGGCGGGAAATAAGGGGGAATTAGCTGTAAGAGCGACCTGAGGGCATAATTAGGATAAAGTCTAGTTTGTAACCGGCCTTGGAGTAAAGCGAACAGGTTCATTGAAAGCTTTCCCTGGGAGAGGCGGGAGAACTGGACCTAAAAGCTAGAGGCTAGAAGATAGGAAACTCATTTCTTTAATATTTGGCTTCTACTGGAGTTTGGCACTGTTTATGGTGCAACGATGGACGTAGGCAAAGAAATTTAAACTGTGATGGGCTAGACTGGCAACTAAATGCTGTTTAATGTCATTTTTAAGTGCGATGAAAGACAAGTAGAATTGAAGAGATGAGTGGAGGTGCTCTGTTATGTAGAAACCAGTTAGGACTCCAGCAAAGTGTTACTTCAGCAATGATGTAAGCGCAGTAAAGGAGAAAAGGAGCTTATCTAATAACAGGTAGAAACACATTATGGGCAAAAAACAGGATGTGAAATAATCAATAACCTTTGTTAGTTAAAAGTATGATATAAAATGGAAGGCAATCCTGGAAAAGTAGGTGGAAGTGATAAAGGGTTATGACTTTCAGTTGACTGTTTTAAGTAGTGGCTAACATGTATGTTTTTAAGTAGAAAAAATACATCTTGACATCAAAGAAGGTAGTTTTCCAAGTGACTGGGTTTTGTTTGTTTCTGTTGTGTGGTTATTCCTGTTTTTGTGACATTTATTATGATTTCAGGATACATTGTATTTACATGGTATTATTTCTGTTTGGTACAGAACTGATTTGTGGCCTGTTTGACACCTAGCACAGGCTTACTGGCCCAAGACATTACTGAAAATGCATATTAAATCAATCATTCTCGAAGGATTCAAGTCCTATGCGCAAAGGACTGAAGTTAATGGTTTTGACCCTCTTTTCAATGCTATCACTGGTTTAAATGGTAGTGGAAAATCCAACATACTGGACTCCATCTGCTTTTTGCTGGGCATCTCTAATCTGTCTCAGGTAAAGTGTAAACGTTCTCATTTGTGAGACTATAAGTTTAGCAACAAATTTTCACAGAACGTGCAGACTATTGCCAGTATTCTTTTCATTTACGTTTTTGTACTTTATGTAAATTATCACCGTCTACCTTACTGCAAGGAAAGTATTATTATACCTCACTTAAAGGAAAGTATTATTACTCCATCCGTTAGATAGCTACTTACAGGGGTTGTGTAAGGTTCATCTTTTTAAGATTGTGGGGGTAGCACTCAAACTCAGGCATTCTGACTGTAAGACAGTCTCATTCCAGAGCCTGTATTTTACCTGTGGTGATATAACCACTTCTTAGGACCTACTCATGAATCAGATGATTAGGGAAATTCATAGGCACTCTCTTACCTTAAATCTTATAAATTAACTTTTGTTAGGAAATTAGTATAAAAGAATTTGTGTTGAAAGCATTCTATAGAGGGACCAGCAGTTAGCGTAATGGCTGTCTCGCTGGACTCCCATGTAGTCGACTGCGGTTCGAAAGAATTTGAGTTGAAAGCATTCTATAGCAGTTAGCGTAATGGCTGTCTCGCTGGACTCCCATGTAGTCGACTGCGGTTCGAGTCCTGGACCCGGTGGCTTAAACTCACGCCAGGCACGTGTGTGTGCATGCCCAAGATCCCGAGAGGAGAATGGAGGAGAAGGGATTGCAGCGTGGCCATCCCCCCTGGGGGGTGATTTCCTGCTTTCTGTCTCTCTGTCTGTCTCTGTCTGTCTGGCAAGCGCACGCGCCCTATAGCAAAAACCTCTCCAAAAAAAAAAAAGCATTCTATAGAGAAAGGCACCCATTCCTGGTTTTGTCCATTTTCCTGGATGCTCTTACCAGTAAATACGATTGCCAGTCCTTGTCTATTTAGTGACTACCATGAGTGGGTTTTTCAATAGTAAGAAACCTGTTTTTAGTGCTGCTTTGAACAATATGGGGTTTTGTCTTAAATAAACCTTACTTTTATTCTAGGTTCGGGCTTCTAACTTACAAGATTTAGTTTATAAAAATGGACAAGCTGGAATTACCAAAGCCTCTGTGTCAATCACCTTTGATAATTCTGACAAAAAGCAAAGTCCTTTAGGATTTGAGGTTCATGATGAAATTACAGTAACAAGACAGGTGAGTGGCCACTAGGTATTTTGATACCTTAAGAACTTTGATGTGTTACTAAGCCATGCTACAACTGTTTGTATATATATGCGGGTTTTTAAACCAGTGAAGGATCTTACATTTGTCCCTTAAAATTAATTTTTTTTCTTATGACAGTCAGACAAATTTTCCAGTTTGTAAAAAAGAAAGATTTTTATAGATGGCCAGAGCACACATGTGTTTGCCAGAAGGAGAGGGAGAAGGCCCTTGCCAATGGGGCATGGTCATGCCACATCTCCTTCTCCATTTCTCTGTCCTGTTGGGGTTTTGAATGCGCACACATGCACCTGATGTTTTACAAACTGCTGGGGCTAGGATTTAAACTGCCATCAGTGATGTGAGATCAGGCTCCCTTTACTACCAGGTAATAGCAACCCCAAAGTTTTATTTGTTGAACATTTATTAATTCCCACCTCTTTTCCATCTTAGAATTATGTCACTTACAAATTTTCTCAATTTTAATGAATGCTCTTAATTAAAGAAAGTATTATCTTGGTTGGGAGACAATCTCGTTATGTCATTAGGTATCAAATAATCATCTTTCAAGCCATAGGCCTGTATCATGGTCAAAATTTTGTTACAAAGTGCTCGTCATGTACTACATCTGTTCAAATATATTGAACATTTAATGTAGTTGGGAATAGAAATGAACTAACATGTATTCAGTGTGCCTTTGTAGAAAATAAACAAGCTAGTGTCTGTCATGATCTTTTCTTGCTTTAAAATTTTTTTTAATTACCATAGAGTATAGGAGTCACCAAAGAGAGAGCATGTATACCCACTCCAGTACAGTATGGTAACACCACAATCTCCTTTCCTCCCTTTCAGGATTTTGGGCATGCATACACATAGGCCCACTGTGTTTTTCATGTTGCCAGGGCCAGGATTTGAACGGCGATGAGCCATATGGGTACTTGAGTCAGGATTAAAACGGTGATCAGCCACGTCCTTTCTAGCTACCACCTTAACGACTTCGACTTGGCTACTGGGTCAGCCCATGGCATCACTTGTTTTTACCATACCATGCAAGAAATACCATTATTGTTATTTTCCTTCCAAGAGGTCACAACTCATGTCTTTTTTTTCCTTTAGAGAGGTTTTTGTTATAAGGTACATGTGCTCACCAGAAAGACAGAAAGAGAGAGACAGAAAGCAAGAAATCCCCCCCCCCCCAGGGTGAAGGGGGGGGGGGCATAGCCACGCCGCAGTCCCTTCTCCTCCATTCTCCTGTCGGAATCTTGGGCACGCATGCACATGTGCCTGGCGTCAGTTTAAGCCAACAGGTCTGGTACTCGAACTGCAGTCAACTACATGGGAGTCCAGTAACATAGCGGACTTGAACTGCAATAATCTACATGGGAGTCCAGTGACATAGCCATTACGCCAACTACAGATCCCTCACAAGTCACGTTTTTATTCGTCTCTTTTAGAATCTTGTCAGGAATTGATAATCAAGCCGCTTTTCTTTAGCATTTCATATATGACTTCTATTCATATTAAAGAATGGAAGAAGAGGGATTAATCTCTAAATGGGAAAAATTGCAGAAAGGTGACTGAAAGGAAAATGTGTCTTACATGTACTTGGAAGTAAAGCTAGAACTGACCTTAAAAACCTAGTCCAGTGCAAGGGAGAGCATGAAGCTTATGTGTGGTAACATTACTATGAGTTGGAAAAGTCATGATATATTTTTTCATTAAAAAACCTAGATTAGAAGCTGGTTGTCCTATTTTTTTTCTATGAAAAAAATGTATCATTACTTTTTAGATAACCCAATAGTTAGCAAAATACTTGGATTAGACGCTAGTTGTCCTATTCTTTTGGACCATGTCACACTTCTTTCACTACTTACTCAGGGTTGGTTTTGTTTACTTTAGACAGAACCAATAACTGGAAAGTAATGTATTTGGGAACTTATAATTTAACACAAAATGTTTGTGTACATTCATGCTTTTTTTAAATGCTTTCTTTTTTTAGGTGGTTATTGGTGGCAGAAATAAATACTTAATCAATGGTGTAAATGCAAATAATACCAGAGTACAGGATCTTTTCTGTTCTGTTGGCCTTAATGTTAACAACCCTCACTTTCTCATCATGCAGGTATGCTATTTGAGTTCTTTATATCTCTTTCATAATGGTTTTGTCCCCTTTTATATTTTTAGTTATTATTACAAGGTAAGTGCCTTTTGGATTTTCCATTTTTTTAATATACTGGTATATAGTGCTTGTGCATCTGTTAAGAAATATGGTTTAGTTTTTTGTACTGATGCATTCTACTATATTATATAGATTTGAATCTTGAAGAATGTCTTGAAGTAATTTTCTTTGACTTTTTTATTTGTTATATTAATCTGTGTACTAAATTATATTAATCTATATACTAAGTGTTAAAAAAATGTTTTCATCTTCCTTTAAAAAAATACTGTATTTTGCAAGGCCCACATGCTAGTGTCAGGTTCATGTACGGAAATGTCTCTGAGTATGTTGGGCACACATAAACCCATGATCAGGGCTGACTGAGACCCGGAGCGGACCGTAACATCAGGGCTCCGATGAGGGGTCCTGGCTCACTAATGTTGTCTCTGTCTATCTCACTCACCAAGAAAATTAAAAACTAGACTTAAACAAATTTTGATTAGGGCCGGCAGATGGCATGGTGGTTAAGGGTGCTGACCTCCCACATGGCCAACCGTGGTTTGAGTCCCAGACCTGGTGGCTTGCTTTCTCACTTTCTCTCTCTCTCTCTCACACACACACACACACAAACACACACACTCTGTCCCTCTATGGTCAAATTAAAATAAATAAATAAATAATGTTAAATAAAAATAATATAAAAAATTGTTTATAAATGATTGAATAATTTTCTCCTTTAGAGACTTAAGCAAATTAAAAGTAAAGACTAATTTTATTTTTCACTTGACTAATTTAGCTACCATTTGAGAGAGCTAGCTAGGTCAATGGCAAGATTGTAATGGGACTTAATAAAAATATTTCCACACATATTACAGCTTCACCGCTAAAAAGTTAGTTCAAGTGAATCTGTATCTTAAATATTGGGTCAATAGAAAAGTCATAACATAAATGCATTATGACTTCTCCAGTGACCCAATAATATGATTTCCAGAGACTTGAGAGTGCAGGATTTTTTGCTTTGGGGAATGACTAAATTAAATGAGCTTTCTGACATTGAAATAAAATCTTCTATTTAAGGTCTACAAATATGTTATCTATTTTGTGAAATTATCTTGAAGGGCTTCATTCAAGAATTCATGTTATTAATTATGTTAAAATGTATTATGCTTAACACGTTTAGAACTGAATACTTCTACATTAATCATTTTAACTGTCTCAGAAATGTGATCTGAGTTACCTTTAGTATCACTTAAATTATTTTTTGTGTGTGTCAGTAACATAATTTGTAGTGCTGGTAAGTGAGAAAATAAATAGCAAAGCTTTAGAATTTAAGGTACCTTTGGTCTCAATTCTAATCAGAGAAGCATCTTTCCAGGTGGGTAGGAGAAAGACCTCCCCAAAACTGTTATTTTGGGGTACAGCAGCTTTTTTTTTTTTAAGAGATTTTTGCTGGAAGCTGCATGCACTCGTTGGAGAGACAGAGACAGAAAGTGAGAAATCACCTCCTGGGGAGATGACCATGCTGTAATTCCTTCTCCATTCTGCTGGTCCCCAGCAGCTATTGTGAAGAGATTTTTGCTGGAAGCTGCATGCACTCGTTGGAGAGACAGAGACAGAAAGTGAGAAATCACCTCCTGGGGAGATGACCATGCTGTAATTCCTTCTCCATTCTGCTGGTCCCCAGCAGCTATTGTGTAGATAAACATGAATGTCTTTAAGTTAAATTTTCTAAAGTTTGTTTTCATTATAGTAAGTTGCCATTTTATTTTCAGGGCCGAATTACAAAAGTTTTGAATATGAAGCCTCCAGAGGTAAGAGTATTTATGCACAGTAAGAGAAGCAATTATAGATAATGTTTTAATCTTCCAGGCAATCAATTTTTAAAGATAATTTCCTCCATTATTAAAGTTCTTGGAAACATTGTTTATTTAAGGATGACTAGTAAAGAAAGTAGTTATTTACTGTCTGGCCTTGTGCCTAATATTAAAAAAAAGTTTGATTGTATAGAAAGTAGCCTTGCTCAACAGATATTCCATATTAGGCTTAATTCTCTACAGAAAAACTGCAGAAGAAGATGCATGAAATCATTTCATACAGAGGATTGCTTGTAACATCAGGACTTAATATTCTTTTGGTGCCACCTTAAAAAAAAAGTTTGTATGAAGGAATGACTATTTTGTACAACAACAAAGGCTCTTTAGTGATATTTTCCTGTTGAGAAGAACTAATAAGACTGGTAATAATACCAGTCTGTTTGAATATAGGTCATGTTTCTTTTCTTTACACAACATCTTAGGGATTCTAATTTGAAACCTGCCAAATACATCAACTAATAACAGGTTCCAGAGAAGAAATAATCCTCTTGAGATAGTGATTGATGCTTAGTAGATTCAGAAAAGAAGTGCTAGCATAATTGTCCTCCTTATGAAATTATAATTGATTAATATTTGCCTTTTACAGAGTGCTTGTCTACATGCACTATTTTGTTCAGTTCTCAGTGATATATAACTAGTACTCTGGATGAAGAAACTGAGGTACAGAGAAAATTGAGTTATATGCTTAAGTTCATGAAGCATGTGTCATAGTTGGGAGGCAGACATTAGGGCAGGGATAGCCTAATTGGCATAAAATGAGTGCAATCTACTTGAAATAATTTTAAATGGAAACTTCCTAAATGGAAGGTGGCAGCATTTTCTTTTTTACTCTTTTTAGACTTGTAATTGAAGAAGAGGAAGAGGGAATTACTGCGTTCAGTTTTAAAAGTGATAAACTGGAAACTTACTGTCATAAAAAATATGATGTTAGAATAGGTGTGAAAACCAGAAATGTTTCTTGAATGGAAGGGCCATGGTCAATATGTACATTTTTATCTAGTTAACTTTTGTGGTTCATCTAGGCCATTATTTCAGTAAAATGCTCAGTGAGGTCAAGGCCATAAAAGAAATATTTAATATAAATTCCAGTGAGACACATTGTCTTGGTTTCTTAAAACATTAATATAATTGTCATTCCAGATTTTATCCATGATAGAAGAAGCAGCTGGAACCAGGATGTATGAATACAAAAAATTAGCTGCTCAAAAAACTATAGAGAAAAAAGAGGCTAAGCTAAAAGAAATTAAGACGGTAATTAAATTTATATTAAAAAGATTTGGGGAAGAACGGAGTTCTGCATTTGGAGTTCTGCATTTGGAGTTTCTGCTTTTTGCAGTAAAGAGGGACCGTTTATTTTTTTCTTGGTTCATTTTCTCTAGTATTTCTGCTACTTAAAAAAAAAAAATTAGCAGTACTTTACATACTGAAAATACTGATTTTTTTCCTTTACTTTCCAGATACTTGAAGAAGAAATTACTCCAACCATTCAGAAATTAAAAGAGGTATATGATATATAGGTATAAAGACAGTCAGTTAGAATGTGTTTCAAAATTGGTGATATATCCAAAATTATTCACATAGAGGTGAACTATTTACTAGGGGATTTTTCTTTGGAATGTGATAAGCAGTTAGAGTTACTATTCGACAACTCAACTTTCTGCTTACAGAAAATGTGTGCTTCATGTATGTTAAATCACAGTGATCTCTGAGAATGATGCTCATAATCTCAAAAAGTGGTATGCCAGATTTCCATATTTTATTGAAGAGAAGCAAGTCTGGACTCTTCTGGTTAATTATAGACTGGAAAACATTTCTTAAAGATATGACACTCCTGGAAACCCTTATTGGTAGAAAAAATAACTTAAGTTTTCACTGTAATCATTCATGTCAAGACATTGTGTTAAGTGAAGGATCTTGAAACAGAGGATTGAATTCTGTAATCTTTGCAGCTCCTGAGATCATAAAATTTGGCAGTGATTTAGTGGAATAATGCATTTATAAAGTATATTGTTTTCAAAGATATACATTTGGTAGTTCATTAAAAGTTCAAAGCTGTCTTAATATAGTCATGAAGATGTTTCTGGAAAACTGAAAAATTAGGATCTTAAAGATATCCCTTTCATATGCACTATTTAGTTGAATACACTAAATCAGGAGTTTATACTTAGGTTTGAGAGTTGCTTTTGCCACATTATTTTTAAATCTGATAACATGAACAGATCATTTAACAACATGGTATTTGTTTCTCAAACTGTAGATCAGGGATTTTAGTTCTTATTCTGTTTCAGAAGCTCTTTTTGGGAATTGAGTTTAGTAATGTGTGACCTAGATTTTGTGGTATACTTGAAGGAATTTTAGATAGATATCTTGGTAATATGTACTGTTTCTACATAATACATTTAACAGTGTGCCACTGGGAGTGTATAGGTTGTCTTTATAGACTTCTTAATCACCAGCAGTTTATGAATCCTGTCTTTATATTTCTTTGTTAATTACAACTTCCTAATAATGAATTAGAAAACATAGCCATGTAAGATTCACTGGAGATGGTACAATGCTGTCTAAAAGACCAGGGTTCTAATATCAAAGTTTCCTAAGATTTAAAATGGCATTATCATTTAACATAAGATAAAATCTAATATATTATGTAATAGGAAATTTTATACATGTTGTTTTCCAAATTTGTTTAAAAATACAAATTCTTGGTAATTTTTTATTGGTGGTTTTTGTCTTAGGAAAGATCTTCCTATTTGGAGTACCAAAAAATAATGAGAGAAATAGAACATTTGAGTCGTTTATATATCGCATATCAGTTTTTGCTGGCCGAAGATACCAAGGAACGCTCAGCTGAAGAGTTAAAAGAAATGCAGGATAAAGTTGCAAAGCTTCAAGAAGAATTGTCTGAGAATGACAAAAAAATAAAAGCACTTAATCATGAGATAGAAGAATTGGAAAAACGAAAAGATAAGGTCAGAACCTATGAAATAGAATAGATAACATACTCTGAAAAAAAAAAAAAACGTTAAGTTGTATGCAGTATTGAGGATTCACTGAGATTCCGTATTGATTTGCTAAAATAGGGTTATGACATAGCTTGGGAACAAATAATTATTTCATATAGAAATCATAAAACAGACTGGCAACATGATACATTTTAAGTAATTTGAATTGGGTACATCTGATTCCAGGAAATTGGAGGTATACTCCGATCTTTAGAAGATACTCTTGCAGAGGCTCAGCGAGTTAATACTAAATCTCAAAGTGCGTTTGATCTCAAAAAGAAAAATCTAACAAGTGAAGAAAATAAACGCAAAGAGCTGGAAAAAAATATGGCTGAGGTAAGTGAATAAAGAGCTTAATTTCATTGCTACTGTTATACATTTATCTACTTTGTTAATGAATTAGTGTCTGCTGTGGGCTAAATATAGTTGTTTGTGCTACGGAAACAGCAGGGGACAAAATGGTCAAAAGTCCCTGTCATGAGGTTTTCATTCCAATGGGGGAAGTTATTGATAAAGAATATAAGTAAAATATGTAGCATATTATATACACCCATCCTTTGGTATTTGTGAGAGATTAATTTCACCAACCCTGCAGTGGCCTGAACTGCAAACCATTCCTAGGATGTGCACTTTAGAGAGAAAAGGATGTCCTAACATCCGCAAGTGGTATATATTTGTCTCTTCTAGGCAGCAAGCTACTACCATAATTCTCCTCTCTACAGAGGGCATCTTTTAAAGTGTGTAGTTAATTGCTAGGCTGTTATCAATGACCCATGAGTTATGAAATTGTAGCAAGATAATCATGGTATGGAAAGATCACTACTGAATGGATATCACCACTGCATGCTGTTTGGGCAATTGGGTGGATCATCCTTGTTTAAGTCTTAATCAAAATATGGCCATCTACTGAACTGAGGATGCAGATAGTTCAGTGGATCGCTTCTGCTTTGTTCTGTGATCCTTCAGTGAATCACGCCATGCCATTCATAGATATGTCTTCAAATCCAGGCCCCAGTCTCCAGAAGAGGAGCTAAAGCATCCTCTGTTGGTCACTTGGTCCCTTCTGGCTAGCTAGCCATTTGTCATGAAGCCCACTGGTCCTTTGGGATTCTAGCTTGGCCCATTCTTGAATATACTATTCCACTTGATAAATGAGCTCTATTGCGGCTGCCCACATTTATTGGTGGGGTGTGTAAGTATCTAAGTAAGAAAGGACAGTTCAAGTTGCAGGGTCATATGTAGTGCTCTGGCCTTAAGACTCTCAGTCTCTACCTGTGCACAGTAGCAAGTAAGGAAATACTATTCAGATGTCACATATATCTGTTGATTGCCTTAGGCAACTTGATGTCCAAAATCAGAGAGGGTCGTGCATCCCAGAGGCAAATTTTTGTTCCTACATATTCCAGTTAGCGTGCATGGAGGATGAAGATGCCTGTCATTTTATCAGGAAAACAGTCTGTAAAGGTTTTAAAAGCAGTGCCTGTGTTTACTGAATGAATTCTAAGACCTTTTGATGCAAAAGGCCTCATTCAAAGTTAGCACCTTTATTGGTCACCTTGGCTAAAGGGACCAAAAGAATACCCATTGTAGATTGGGGTATATGGTTTCTCTACCTAAAGGGGCCCATGAGTTGTTGGGTACCATTTTTTAGTGGATGTTGCCATGACCAACAGTTTTTGCCTGAAGGTATCTGGGATGGTTCTTTGATTTTTGCCATTTGGTCTTGACCTTCAACCTGTGGTAGTCCTTTGTTAGCTTCCATGCCCTGAGCTTTGACCAATGAAACTCAGCTGGTACAGTGTTACAGAGTGGTTTGTAACATTTTTATCTGTAGCAGTTTTGAACTAAAAGTACTGCCCTGTTATTCATTTAGTATGTAATGCTGCTTTTCTCAAATAACTTATAGTGTTTGAGCTAATTAAGATGGCAGGTAGAAGAGGACATGCCCCACCCTTGTGGCTAGAATTCTGAGCTGTGAGGGGCGTCCCTCCTTCGTTGGTGGTAATGTTCTGTGTCACAAGCATTAAAACATCAGTGCCTATAATGCGTGCAGTGGTGGGAACCAAGGTCTCTAGCACCCAGAAATCCCCTACAGGCTGCACTCACAGGCAGACAATCATCATAGGTTAGTACATTCATCCCCTAACCTCCCATTGTCATCAATTTAATTTTCCTTCTAAATAGACCTGAGAATATTGTCATATGGGCTCTAATACCAGGAACCCCTGAAATGTATGAATTATCTTCTTTTTCTTCTCTTTTCAGTGGTATAGGGCCATTGTCTTCTAGTGGGGACTTGGAAACAATTTCACTCTTACCTGTACCACTCAGCCATTTGTATCTGTAATGTCCCCCGATCAAATACTTAAACTAGACTACATAAGACTTCCTGGTCTTTTTTCATATCAGTTACTATAATGAGTCATTATGTAGAAGCCTGCATTATGTGTGTTGGTTTCCACTTAGATGTCTCAGGGACAGTCTGATTACCCACTTCCAAACTCTCTGATTCCAGGAATGGGCAATTATCTAAGTGTCCAACAACCAGGGATCTCGTGCTGTTAACCCCATTTCTCCACTACTTTCTTGGTGTTTCATCTATGTAGCCAGCCCGTTCATATTCATGATCGGATGCCTGTGTCCCACCTACTGTGTCGCCTTTCTTATAAAGGAGCATGTTTATCATGTTCAGCTGCATGTTCAGTCCCAAATCCCTCCAGGCTAATGTCTCTGGGCTGGACCAGGAATAAAGGCGAGAAAGGCCACTCCAGCTTTGTCAGTAGGCTGCGATTCTATCAGAGTGGACCCTTCTCACCAGTTTCATGGAGCAGGTTCCCTGTGCACTGGTTACCAACTGCTGTGTCTTATAGACCAAACACACTCAACACAATAGGTTATATGAAGCAGATTTATTACTTATGGGTGGGTAGTAATAAATGGCAGTAGCCTAGGATTCAAAGTGAACTGTTCCATAGACTTAGGAAAATTTCCAGAGGTATCTTCCATGTGTGCCTGACTTCCACCTCAGCTGAGGGATGTCTGATTGTAGCCTGCTTGCTCTGGTTTTATACCTCGTGGCAACCTGAAATGTTGGACATTCTGTTTCTAGAGAAGGCTGTTCCTTCCAAATCTCAGATGTGACATTTCTAGTACATTTTATAGTTACATATACATATATATATATTTTTTTTTTGGAGAGGTATTTGCTATAGGGCATGTGCGCACACCAGGAAGACAGACACAGAAAGCGAGAAATTACTCCCCCCAGGGGGGATAGTCATGCCGCAATCCCTTCTCCATTCTCCTCTCAGGATCTTAGGCACACATGCACACATGCGTGTTGTGAGTTTAAGCCACCAAGTCTAGAACTCGAACTGCAGTCTAGTAGATGGGAGTCCAGCGACATAGTCATTACGCCAACTGCTGGTCCTAGTTATGATATTTTAAAGAAACTTTTGCAAGAGGGCATGTGTGCTTGCAGGGTGGTGAGTGAGAAAGTACCCCCCCATGGCAAAAGGTCATGCCACAATCCCTCTTCCTCAATCTCTCCCTTCAGGATTTTGAGCCTTCATGTATATATGCCCAGTGTGTATCTCAAGCCTCAGGATCCAAGACTCAAACTGGGCAGCCGGCCCTGTGGGAACTAGCCTCCTTAACTACCATGCCATGGGCTGACCCTAGAGTTCCCTTTGTAAACTACCACTAAGAAAGGGGGAAAACTTAGTCAATTTTAGGCCACCTGGAGAATTGTCTTGCAAACTAGATTGCTTGATCCTGCTACTTACTTAATGTTCTTACCTGGGTGACTAGCAGAAGTATAAAATCCAGAATAGAATTCACAAATATTCTTTACCTCTCCAAACCTACTCATGTTACTAAATTATTCTTCATGTCAGTAAATGGCACTAACCCTCACCTAATTGTTCAAGCTAGAGATCCTAGCTCCTTCTGAATTCTCCTCTTCTCTCAAACTCCATCAGCAAACTGTATCAACTTTAAAGTAAGTCCAAAATATAACCACTTTTTATCTCTTCTGTCACGTCCAACCTTGCTCAAGTCATTGCCTACTAAGAGGGCTTCAAAGGCGGTGTTTTTATTTGTTGCCCTCCTTTTATTATGCTATTCCATATGTTGTTTAATATAAAAGATGAAGTATAAATTGGATCATATCTCTTCTGTGTTTAAAATCCTTTCATGATTCCAGTCACATGGATAATTAAATAAAAGTTTTTAATGTATCCTGTATGACACTTCATGGTATGGCTCCCACTGTTTACGCACTGTGCTCCAACCAGTTCCTCAAACGCCCCGACATGTTCCTCAGGACTTGCCAAGTCCACTGCCCTCTTAAATATTTGCACAGTCACCCTCACTTCATTCAGGTTTCTGCTCAAAAATAGTGGTTTTTATCACTCTATCCCCTTCTTACCTTGCTTAATTTGTTTACGTTGTCTTTAGCCTAGAATAAGGCTTCTCAAGGACAGGGTTTTATTCTGTGTCTCTAATGTCTTAAAACAGTGCCTGACAAATAGTAAGTACCTAGTTAATATTTAATGAATCCTGAACTGACTCATCAACAGACCCAAATCTGGTCAGTTAAACAAGAAAGGTGATTTTTTGTTTTTTTCCAGTGCTGGTATCTTGCATAGTGTTTAATGTATGTGTACTTAATATTGCTTAAAGGGTGTTAACTATTAGTAATACGTTTCCGACAACCATTCATTAATCAATAGTCCTTAATAGTTTATTGAATATATCATGTATATGCTCTTAATCCTAAAACCTCTAGTTTTCAAGTTAGTGTAGGATGGCTGATTATCATTAATTGTATTACTATTAGAAATTGGTTTTTAGTTTTGTCAAATGGGTTGTTTAAATATGCAGTGATTTTTTTTTTTTTAGCCTATTGTCTCCTAAATTTGACTATAACATACGGAATGACAATATTTCAGGATTGCTAGAATCACATTTATCCCAAAACAGAGTGAATTTCAAAATTGGAATTCAGTATTTAAAGTTGCGATGGTACAGTTATTTTCCTTATGATGTGCACTTGAAACTGCCTTGAAATTTGATGACATGAGTATATATGGGGACGGCCCTGTGGCCTAATGATTAAGGGAGGTAGATCCCACATAGCTGACTGTACCATTTGAGTTTTGGACTGGGCAGCTTGAAAAACATGCAAGGCATGTATGTATGAGTACCCTAAACCCAACTTGACAGAGAAATGGAGAAGATGAGAAAGCAGCCACTGCAGGGGGTGGTGGTGGTATTTTTCCCTCGGTGTCTCTCTTTGGGTGTCTTTCCTGAAATAAAACATTTTCCAATTTGAAATTCTTCCTACAGGACTCTAAAACTTTAGCAGCAAAGGAGAAAGAGGTTAAAAAGATAACAGATGGGTTGCATGCCCTTCAAGAAGCAAGTCATAAAGATACCGAAGCTTTGGCCGCTGCACAACAGCACTTCAATGCTGTTTCCGCTGGTCTGTCCAGTAATGAAGACGGAGCAGAAGCAACTTTTGCTGGTCAAATGATGGCCTGTAAAAATGATATAAGTAAAGCTCAGACAGAAGCCAAACAGGTAAATATAGATATTAAATATAGACTGTGTGATCGCCTTTTTTTAACTTGCTTTTGACATTGTATGTACTTTAGTATTTGTTATAAAATGTTGAAAATTGCGTCAAGGAACTTGTTTATTGCTACTCTGTAGGACCTAATACAGCAAAATTCAAATATGTTGATTGCTAAATATTGATGATTTCAGTATGTCAGAATGTTGTAAAACATTTAAATTTTATTTG